TATGGACCACGTTGCGCGCCGCCTCGTCGAGGGCGAGGGTGGCCGCGGCCACGCATGCATAGTTGTGCACACGGTGGATAGTCATAACGTCATCCACATTGTGCAGCCATGCATCCACATCAGACCGAGTGTGGTGAAAAGGTGGAATGTTGACCTGCAGCAATCCAAAAGGAGGAGTAGCCAGGGGAGGCAAGCCATTCCCGGCCGACACAGGTGCTGGTGGAGGAGCAGGTGCAGGAGCAGGTGTCGGTGTAGGTGCTACAGCAGGTGCAGGTGCAGGTGCTGCAGCAGGTGCAGGAGCATGGCAAGATGCACGACCAGGTCCCGTGCTAGAGTTGGTAGGCACATCTCTTGCATGCAGAGCTCGGTACATAGTCTCCCGTCGAAAATCCTTAAACTGCTCCTGCACACCAATGAGCTTGTTGGACTGCTTAGCGAGCTATTGAGTATGGTCCTGGACCACAGACTTTGTGAAACAGTGTCCAGACAGGAGTTCCTTGATCTTGGAGTTTTGCAGGGATAGCTTGACATTAAGCTCATTGATAAGCTTCTTCATCTAAAGAATATCTTAAGGAACAACTTCCACATCTCCCTCCAGGTCCAACTCCTCATCATGGTTCTCCTCCTGTTCAAGGTTAACCCCATCACTAGGAGCTTGATCAGCCATGATTTTATCAGCATTAAGATCAATGGCAACAGCTCCATCCTCCACTCTAGCAGAAGCAGCCTTGTTGAACTCCTTCTCTCCCAAGTTGTTGCTGGAAGCCATCACTTCAGCAGTTGTTGCTCCACAACCATGGGCTCGGAGAGAGATTAACAAGGACTATTGCAAAATGCACTTGTAAGGAACCAAGAATCTCTTCACAAAGAGAATTCTTCAACAGAGCTTATAATAACTCAACAATTTCTTACAAAGAGCTCTAGATCTGTTGCAAGATCTTTACTACTGTAGTGAGTAAAGCAAAACCAGTCAGAAGTTCCACGAAGAACAGGACGAGTCCTTCACAACCAAAGATCATAAAATTCAGAGTTGACACTGAAAAAACTGCATACATTTTGGCGCTGGCACTGAAAAATCAGTCAATTATCTGGTATCGACCAAGAAATTTCCGCTCTCGGAAATTCTTGTTTCAGTCTGCATACGCGTTATGGTGCTGGCGCATCAATACCAACCCCTAGAAATAGTATGGAAAATCAAACCTGGCACAAAAAATTACACCAGGCCCCATGATTGGTTTTAGGGTACCTTGATTGCTCAGTGTCATGTTCTAAAAAAGAACTTTCCATCAGCCTCCTCAAGAAAATTTACGCTGATTTATCAGTGTTGCCTAACAAAAATTCGCTTTTCCATCAGCATATTGTACGGAAGAAACATTGATTTGGCAATATAATAAATTCGAATTCGACGCAAGGCCGACCCAAGGCCGAAGGAGCCTCGAGGTTAACAGAACGAACTGCGGGTCTTGTGTTTCTGACGGTCGTGCAAAAACAAAAGTGACAATGAAAATGAGTTGTGACTGTATGGCGATGGGAGTTGTAGATTGGCGGGCGAAAAATGTGACTGATCGTGCCATTCGTATGCCGCTAAAGTTGCTCGCTAAGCGTGAGTTTCCAGTCAAACAGCCGTCTGTCAACCTCGGGAAGACCCGAGGCAATTTTTTCCACCTTGGGTGTGTCAAACATATTGTGCATATGTCTTATAGGCTAGAAAGGTGCGTACTCTTAGACGGTACAACCCATTAGATAAAACCACCTTGTTTGCCTCATTCTAGTCATTGATTCAGCCTTTGATATGGTATCACGCTAGGTCAGGTCCCTCCCGCCCACCCGCGCTTCCGCCTTAGGCCTAGTCCTAGCCGCCCATTCCTAGCCGCCCGTACCTAGCTTCCCGTTGCTAGCTGCACGTTTTGAGCCGCCCGTAGCTCCGCGCCCGCTGGCCCTAAGTTCGCCAGGCTCGCGCCTCTAGCCCCGCATTTGCTAGCCCCGCACCTGCTGGCACCGAGCTTTCCAGCCCCGTTCCTACTGGCCCCGCGCTTACTAGCCCCGCGCCCGCCAGCCCAGTGCCTGTCGGCCTCGCGGTCGCCAGCCCCGCGCCCGCTGGCTCCGTGCCTGCTCGCCCCGAACCTGCTCGCCCGCCCTCGCTGGCCCCGCTTTCGCCAGCCCCGCACCTGCCTGCCCAGTGCCCGCCAGCCCCATGCCCGCCAGCCCCGTGCCCGCTGGCCCCGCGTTCACCAGCCTCGCACCCGCCAGCCCCGTTCCTGTCGGCCCCGCGCTCGCCAGCCCCGCGCTCTCTGGCCCCGTGTCTGCTGGCCCCGCACCCGCCAATCCCGTGCCCGTCAGCCCCGTGCCCGCCAGCCCCGTGCCCGCTGGCCCTGCGTTTGCCAGCTCCGTGCCCACCAGCCCCGTGCCCGTTGGCCCCGCGCTCGCCAGCCCGCGATTGCTGGCCCCGACTTCGTCAGCCTTTGTCCTCTAGTCCCTGTGCTCGCCAGCTCCGCACCCGCTGGCCCCGTGCCCGCTGGCCCCACGCCCGCTGGCCCGTGCCGCACTGTAGAGCCGCCGTGTCGCCACGCCGCAGTGCCGCTGTGCTGCAGTACTGGCGTGGCACCGTGCCGCCGTGGATCCGCGCCGCCGTGGCGCCGTGCCATCGTGCCGCAGTGCCGCCGTACTGCTGTGCTGCTGTATCCATGCCACCGTGTCGCCTTGGCGCCGTGGCACCGTGTCGCCATGTCGTCATGCCGTCGTGCCGCCGTGTAGCTGAACTTGTGGGATGGCAGATGCTGTGCTCCGCCTGGACGCAGAGGGGCAGGCGATCGGCTTCGATGCGTGGCTCGTCGACCTTCGCCGTAACCTTACAGGTCAGCGCCAGGACGGTCACTCCTTGGCTGTTCATATCAATGGCCTGCTTACCCCCCCCGGTCTGCTTGTTTGTGAGAGTACGACCCCGTTACACCAATCCCCCCTTTCCATATTTCCTTTCTATTCATTCCTCTTCTTCTCTTATCTCATTTGGTTTCCTATTTCTCCTATTCCATTATCCTTTGGTTTATCCTGGTATTATAATTATATCACCGACCAGGCTCGGGATGTACTGGCGCGCTATATCTAGCGTAATCCTGCCGTAATCCCTTAAAGCCAATAGCCTCGCGTGGCTATACGCATGGTGATTCTATTTTCTAGAAGGGTCTATTCCCTTAGGATAAAGATAGACCTGGTTACCTGATGTACTTTGGAAGTATAAAAGTGTTGTGTGATGTCATCATATGCTATCACATTCTGTCTGCCTCCCATCCCATATTTTTTCAACTTGCATGTGTGGTTTGAACGTGTGCAAGAATTTGTGTGTGATGTGTTCTGGAGTTTGGGAATGTGTTTTGTGTTATTTTGTTTGAGCAGGTTTTTTGTGATGATAGATCTTGAGAAGATCTTTCCGACGCAACGAGAATCCCTTCAATCGGAGCAAGAACGCGAAAGCTATGAAGATTCAAAGTTCATGAGCTTGCGTTACAATTGCGGCGGTTACAAAGTGAAGTTGTGGGGTGACTCTATATGGAGTTGGGACCTTTGGGGGTTTGGGAAATTTGTCACTCACTGTAACAGCTGCAAATTGGTTGGGAACAACCAAGCTAGGTTGGCAAGGGTGGCCAACTTGGATGGATTGGTTGGGAAGGGACAAATGTCAAAGTTGGGGTTCCTATAGGGAGGGAATCTTTGTGCTTATGGGGTTTCCTTGGTTGGGGACTCTCTTGGGACCTTCCCTCTCATCCCTCTCTTCCTATCCCAACCTTTCTCTTGCTCCTTCTAATTCCTTGTGAGATTCTTGAACTTTGATTGAACCTTTGAGATTGAGTTAAGTTCTCCTCCTACAGCTTACCCCCTAGTGCGTCGAAAGCCATAGCGTCGCGAATACTTTATCAATCAACATGATTCAAATTGGGAACGGTAGCTGAGATTAAGAGCTACAACATATCCAAGTTTCGCGACATTCCAACGGCTAGTTGTTTGTCGACGTCGTTTCTTGTGAAGACGACTTTTCTGTCCAGAATTTCGGATTTATATTTTGAGTAATTCTAGCTCCTAAGTTCACCTAGACTCCGTCCTTAATCCTAACAAGTGGTATCAGAGCGATATTAAGGACATTGAGAGGAGTCTACAGAAGTGTGAAGACCCTTCTAGACCCACCATGGCCTGTGGGTGTGCCTAAGTGGTGTTCTAAAGGTTGGATGTGTCTTCCGCTAAGGGGAAACTCTGCCGAAATTTCGTGGACGCCGACACTTGTGAAAATATCGAGGGAGCTGAGTGTGGACAGCAAAGGGGAGCTGAAATTCGTCATTTCTCAAGGAGAAGATGAATGAGAGAGGAGGAGATGCTAATGGAAGAGGAGCTGTAGCTGAGAAGACAAGTGAGCCGCCGCCATCAAAAGTTGAAGCTTTGGATGGCTCCAACTATGAGGAATGGAGCGGACGGATGAGGAGTGCCTTCAAACGCTACAAGCTCCTGAAGATTGCTGTTGGGGAAGAGAAGATGCCGGAAGAAGGCGAAGCACGTGAACGGTGGATTGAGAAAAGCGCGGTGCTTTTCGACCTCATTCTTCAATCGGTCAACAAGGAGATGTTCGAGCACATCAAGGATCTTGTGGAAGCGGATGATTCGGGTCCAAGGGCGTGGAAACTACTACGTGATGTGGTTCAGCCCAACACTCTCCCGATGGTGATCGTGCTCGAGAAGGAACTTGCTGCCATCTCCATGCGACCAGGGGACGATGTGAAGCCGGTCCTTGACAAGATCAAGGACACCTATGCAAGGATGGCAGCAGCGGGCAGCAGTGTATCTCAGCTGCAGCAGTGCACCAAGATCATCTCGGTGTTGGACAACTCTTGGGACAACCTCATCCCCACCCTCAACTCTCAGCAAGATCAATGGACACCTGAGTGGCTAAGGCAGCAGATTCTGCAGGAGGACTTCCGCAGACGCCATGTGGGAGGCGGTGCTGCCACTAAGACTGCTGAGGGGTATGGAGCTGCAGGGCGCAGCAGAGGAAGAGGGGGTTGGAAAGGCCGAGGCCGTGGGAGGAGCTTTGGCAGAGGTAGAGGCCGAGGTGACTATAATGAGGGGCATGGGAGCTCCAGTGGCAGGGGGAGTACCAGAATGGAGGGCACCTGCTGGTACTGCAAGAAGGTCGGGCATCCTTGGTTCAAGTGCTTCAGCAGGCTGGAGGGATGGTCACCTCCAGGCATGAAGCCGCCAAGTGGTGAACGCGCACAAGGTGGCGCTGTGCAAGGCTCAGGTGCACAAGGTGAAGGTGCACAAGGTAACGCCTATCCTGGGATGTATCTCATGGTTGAGGATGTGCATGGGCATGAGGGTGATGTGGGATCTGTGGGAAAGGTTGTGATGCACCCTCTCACGCACTGGGTGATTGATTCAGGTTGCACCAGTCACATGACCCCACGGGCAGATTTGCTTGATGAGGTAAAACCCCCTGGGAAGATCAAGTATGTGGCAGCAGCGTCAGGTGCTTTGCTCCCTGTCATTGGTGTTGGAAATGCCAAGGTTAAGGGAGCTAATGGGGAGCTTGTGGGGCTTGGGAATGTTCTGCTGGTTGAAGGCTTGTCTGCTAACCTTCTCTCTGTGCGACGACTGCAGAAGAGCAAGGCCGAAGTGACCTTTGGACCAACCAGCTGCCGTGCTAAGCTTGGGAAGAAGGTGCTGTGGAGTCTGGAAGAGGAGACCAGCTGCATCAAGGACCTGTGGCAGCTGCCCATCATCCCATGGAATGGGAAGACTCCAACAGCAGCAACGGCAGCAGCGGCAAAGGCAACAGCAGGAAGAGATGCAACTGCACCAACTGATGGGGTCCTGGAAGCAGTCAAGAAAGTGCAGCAGCAGCAGACACATGGCGAGGTGCTTGCTGGTGTGGATGCGAGTGCGGCATGGGCTAAGGCTTCATCAAGGAGTGGAGAGGCCGATTGGGAGACATGGCATGAGAGGCTGTGTCATGTGAACTTCCCTATGCTGCAGAAGTTGGTGAAGAATGGGAGCCTGAAGGGCTTGGAGGTGAAAGGGGAAGTGAAGGAGATTGGGAGCTGCCCTACATGCTTGGAGACCAAGTTCTCCAAGTTCCCCTTCAACAGCACTACAGGACCAGCCAAGACCCCACTTGCACTTGTGCACATGGATGTGGTGGGGCCCACAAGAGCGCCTTCCCTCTCAGGCAGCCGCTATTTCTTGACAATTGTGGATGACCACACTCGGGCAGTGTGGGTTTACCCTTTGAAGAGCAAGGGGGAGGTGGCAGCGGCTGTCCTTAAGGAGTGGATGCCTAGAGCTCAGAGGGAATGCGGATACAAGGTGAAGGTGATCCGCAGTGACAATGGTGGGGAGTTCATTGGAGCTGATTTTGAGGGGGAGTTGAAGAGGAAGGGGATCCAGCATCAACTGACAGTGCCCTACAACCCGCAGCAGAATGGCGTGGCTGAGAGGTTCAACAGGACCCTGCAGGAGGGGGCACGCACTCTCCTTGGGCGTGCAGGGCTGCCTGATCCGTTTTGGGTGTCTGCACTGAGGCAGGTCGCCCTTGTGAAGAACAGGGTGCTGGCTACAGTTGGAGATAAGGAGTGGATCCCATATGTCAAGTGGTATGGGAGTGCTCCAGCTGTGAACATGCTGAGGGCATTTGGGTGCATGGTGGTGTTTCATGTGCCTAAGGAGAAAAGGGGGAAGTTGGAGGCTTCTGGAAGATGGGGTGTGCACTTGGGGATTGCAAAGGATCACAAGGGGTGGCTGCTATGGGACTTGACCACCCAGAAGTTGACAGTGTCAAGGGATGTGAAGTTTCTTGAGTCCCTGTACTACAAGGAATGGAAGCAGCAGCAACAGAAGCTTCCATCTACACCGCTCATTGTGGAGGCAGATGAGGTGCAGCACCCTTCAAGACAGGTGGAGGTTGCAGTGTCAGAGGAGGAGATGTCTGGGGTGACTGAGGAAGGGGGAGCAGCTGAAGTAGAGCAGCAGCAGCAGCAGCATGAGTCTCCACCTCGAGTTCCACACCCGCCTGAGCGTCCTAGGAGGGATGTGCGCCCTCCAGTGAGGCTGACCTATGGGGGAAGAGGCAAGCCAAATGTGGTGCAGGCTGGGAGTGTGGTTGAGCAGATTGAGGAAGATGAGATCGCTCACTGCTACTGGGCACCAATCCCTGAGCCCAAGACTCGAGAGGAGGCCTTGAATGGACCAAATGGGGAGAAGTGGAAGGCGAGTGAGGATGAGGAGTTCGGGTCCCTGATTGAAAACGAGACATGGGACCTGTGTGACTTGCCTCCTGGAAAGAAGGCAATCACTTCCAAGATGATCTACAGGCACAAGTATGGACCTGAAGGGGAGCTGACCCGCTACAAGTCCAGGCTTGTGGCAAGGGGGTTTCAGCAGACAAAAGGGAAGGACTATGATGAGGTGTTTGCTCCTGTGGGGAAAGGAACAACACTGAGGGTGCTGTTAGCGATAGCTGCACTCCTGGGATGGAAGATACGGCAGATGGACATTGTGACTGCTTTTCTGAATGGGATCATTATGGAGGAGGTGTACATGAAGCAGCCAGAGGGGCTGGATGACGGGAGCGGCAGGGTCTGCAGGCTGAAGAAGGCCATCTATGGCCTTAAGCAGGCGCCTCGTGCATGGTATCACAAGTTGGAGGAGGCGCTGTTGGCTGGGGGTTTCAAGAAGAGTGAGTGTGACCCCAGCCTGTTCCTGCTGCAGGAGAAGGATGAAATCCTCATGCTCTTGGTGTATGTGGATGATATCCTTCTCTTTTCTGCATCAACTGCTTTGCTGGACAGCGCAGAGCAGATGCTGGAGATGCAGTTCAAGTGCTCCAAGATGGGTGAGGTGAAGTACTACTTGGGGATGCACGTGGAGAGAGATGTGGAAAAGGGTGTGCTGAGGTTGCACCAGAGGAAGTACTGTGAGGGGCTGGCTGAGAAGTATGGGCTGCAAGATGGGGGAAAGCCAGCAACACCACTACCTTCAGGGTTTACTGTGGAGCCATGTGCTGATGAGGAGGTAGTGGGTGATAGTGACAGGAAGCTGTTTCATTCGATGGTTGGGTCGCTGAATTATGCTGCAAATCATACACGGCCTGACATTGCATTTGCTACATCACGATTGGCTAGTGTGGTCTCACGCCCTAGTCATGAGCAGCTGGAAGCGGCCAAGAGGTTGGTCCGCTATGTGAGCGCTACGGCATCAGTGGGATTGGAGTACAGTGGAGTGAGGCAGCGGTTGCAGAGAGGTGCTGCAGATGTGAAGAGTGGAGAGATGCTCTTGAGTTGCTATACTGACGCTAGCTTCAACTCAGTGAAAGCGGATGGCACCAGCATTGGGGGTTATGTGTGCTTGCTAGGAGGTGGTGCTGTGAGCTGGCGCAGCAAGAAGCAGAATGAGGTGGGATTGTCCTCATGTGAGACTGAGTACATGGCCTTACACCATGGGGCCAAGGAAGTAGTGTGGCTAAGGCGTTTGTTGGAGGAGTTGGGAGTTGGTCAGGAGAAGCCGACAGTTGTGTTTTGTGACAATGAGTCCGCTGTGAAGCTCGCCAAGAATGCTTGTCTGCATGGGCTGACAAAACACATAAGGCCTAAGTGGCATTGGGTGAGGAGACTCCTTGATAAGGAGGTGCGGCTGGAGATAGTGAAGACCCATCAGCAGGCAGCAGATATTTTCACCAAGCGTCTGGCGGAGGCGGATCATTGGAAGGGCATGAAGCTTGCTGGGATGAGTGTGCATTGAGTATGCATGCTTGAGATGTTGGTATGGTGGATGATGGTTGGCAGCCAGAGGGGGAGATTGTTGTGTGATGTCATCATATGCTATCACATTCTGTCTGCCTCCCATCCCATATTTTTTCAACTTGCATGTGTGGTTTGAACGTGTGCAAGAATTTGTGTGTGATGTGTTCTGGAGTTTGGGAATGTGTTTTGTGTTATTTTGTTTGAGCAGGTTTTTTGTGATGATAGATCTTGAGAAGATCTTTCCGACGCAACGAGAATCCCTTCAATCGGAGCAAGAACGCGAAAGCTATGAAGATTCAAAGTTCATGAGCTTGCGTTACAATTGCGGCGGTTACAAAGTGAAGTTGTGGGGTGACTCTATATGGAGTTGGGACCTTTGGGGGTTTGGGAAATTTGTCACTCACTGTAACAGCTGCAAATTGGTTGGGAACAACCAAGCTAGGTTGGCAAGGGTGGCCAACTTGGATGGATTGGTTGGGAAGGGACAAATGTCAAAGTTGGGGTTCCTATAGGGAGGGAATCTTTGTGCTTATGGGGTTTCCTTGGTTGGGGACTCTCTTGGGACCTTCCCTCTCATCCCTCTCTTCCTATCCCAACCTTTCTCTTGCTCCTTCTAATTCCTTGTGAGATTCTTGAACTTTGATTGAACCTTTGAGATTGAGTTAAGTTCTCCTCCTACAGCTTACCCCCTAGTGCGTCGAAAGCCATAGCGTCGCGAATACTTTATCAATCAACATGATTCAAATTGGGAACGGTAGCTGAGATTAAGAGCTACAACATATCCAAGTTTCGCGACATTCCAACGGCTAGTTGTTTGTCGACGTCGTTTCTTGTGAAGACGACTTTTCTGTCCAGAATTTCGGATTTATATTTTGAGTAATTCTAGCTCCTAAGTTCACCTAGACTCCGTCCTTAATCCTAACAAAAAGCGCCTTGTATCAATAGATAGTGCAACCTTTCCTCGAGACATTCGATCCTGTGACACTTGGTAATCTAAGCTTTTCTCACTCGGCCACGCTCAGCCAAGAAGCAGCAGCAGGACTCCTGCCTCGAAAAACCGCCGGGGGCAACCGATTCGACGCCGATTCTGGTAAGCACCAGCTCCGGTTTTTTCGAATTACCCCCTCCGTGCGTGTTTTGAACAGGATGGCGAACTTTGACAATGCCGAAGTTACCCAGCAGCTCTTCCCAAGCATCGCCACCCTACAGGAGGAGATGTGAGCCGACCGCGAAGCTTGGCGAAACGAGTTCGAGCGAGTAACTCGACTCGCCGGCGTGCAACACGAAACAACAACGGCGATGACGTAGCAGACGCGGCAATTTCTCGAGGCTCCGAAGCCGCGGCCACCTGAGCCGTTCGATCCGAGCGATCGAAATTCCGACGTCACGAGATGGATCGCCGGCATGGAGATCTACTTCGCAGCCGTCGGATGGAGCTCATCAGTCTGGGACGGTCAACACGTACGACTCGTTGCAACACTAATGCGAGGGCCGGCACTCTAGTGGATCGGCGGTAACAGCACGTTCATCCACGGCGAAGCCACATGGCAGCAGTTCCACACTGACCTGCTGAAATGTTTCGAGCCGATAAATTCGGGTTTCCTTGCCCGGGAAAAAATTCTTCGCCATCGACACTTCGGGAGTATAGCACAGTAAACGCAGCAGATGGAAGAATTTTATAACCGCATTCCCGACCTGACCGAAGGGGAAAAAGTACAGTCGTACCTCGCCGGGCTGAAGACCGAAGTCAAACGACAAGTGGCAGCGACAAACTACGCCAGCTACAGTGACGTCGTTTCGGCCGTGGAACGCTTCGACATGGTCAACGCCGGGACACGACGGGCGCACGTTGGCAGTACGCGACAGGGCGACCGCTCGGCTCACCCCACGTTTGCCGACCCGATGGAAGTTGACAGGTTGGAAGGGCGGCCACGTCCGACTTCACGTGTGATTTTTGCGGGGTGCCGGGTCATCGAATCTTCGACTGCAACAAAATGAAAGCCGCACGCGCTGAGTATTGGGCACGCAACAGTGGCGGAAATCCTTCGGCCAATCAGAAGACAAAAACGGAGCTCGCCAGTGATTGCGGATCTAGCTGGCGAAAAAGAAAAGATCCGAAAGCGGCCGCGGACTTCCGGAAAAATCAACTTCGACGCAGCTGATTTGATGCGAACGGGAGAAAATGATGGGGAAAACTCTCCACCCCATGACCAGTCTTTGCCAGAGGAAATCGCCGAGGAAAAATCTCACTCCGCGAAAAAGGGTTCTGCCAAGACGGGGAAACTCCTTGAAGACCCAAGAAATTATAAGGATTCGTTAAAGTTATCATATAAAAAAGCGTTAATGAAAATTTGTAATTCTCGAGGGGCTAGAGCCTTGGAGAAAATTCGGGAGGGACTCCAAAAGAAGTAGAAAATTGTGGAGATCATACCGGTACCGGAGAACTTGGGGACCAAATTAAGGAGTGTGGAAAGAAGCCGACCTTTCCACGGAGTCAACGTCCTCTCCTGACACCAGCCCACGGCGACTACCCGTTCCCCAGGGAAGATGTCGGTGGAGCTAAAGCAGCTCAAGAGGAAGCTGGGGGTCTACAAGAAGCTGCAAAAACCCCGAACTCCTTCTTCGGATGCATCCAACTCGGCAACTTTGTCAATGACACGAACAGTCGTCACGGAAACTCCGGGCCCTGGAGAAGAGCCTTTCTCCAAGCAGCCTCGGCCAGCTGCCAGCTCAGGAGTAGGAAGCAACGAATATTGGGATGTACCCTATGACCCAATCAATGAAACTATCTTTGGGTACTCGGAGCAACGCCTGCCCCTCGTGCTCGAGGTCATCTGCAAAGGACGGCGCCTCCAAGCACTTGTGGACAACGAAGCATCGCACACCGTATGCGACAAGGCAACCATCGACCGACTTCGAGAAGAGTACAAGCCATCAGCGTTTTCTGCAACGATGGTGGACGGCAGCAAGTTACCAGTGTACGACGAAGCAGTGCTACACCTACAAATCGGGCCACTGCGCTGGAAAACTGCTCTCCCCATCACCAACATAAAAGGGCTTGACTTGATCTTCAGGCGAGACTTCCTAAAACGATTCAACCCCGAGATCAACTGGGTAAACCGCACCGCAAGCATCTACAACAAAGGGAGGAGAGTCCAGCTACCCAACTGGGACGATACTAGAGATATCCCAGTGGAGACACTCGCCTGATTCGAGAAGGACGTGAAACGAACCAACACCGGGTTCCTGGCATTAGCAACAGACGTGGAAAGGGACGATGAGAAGACCTCGGAACCTCCCAGAGATATCAAGGAAATACTGAAGGAGTTCCAAGACATTCTTCCCGACGACCTCCCGGACGAGCTACCGCCATACCGAACGCACCAACACGAGATCGTGGAGGAACCAGGTTTGAAACCGACCTTCTGAGCACCATATCGGCTAAGCCCCACAGATATTGGGATGTACTATATTATCCTATCAATGAAACTATCATTGGGTACTCCGAGCAACGCCTGCCCCTCGTGCTCGAGGTCATCTGCAGAGGACGATGCCTCCAAGCACTCGTGGACAGCGGAGCATCGCACCCCGTAAGCGACAAGGCAACCATCGACCGACTTCGAGAAGAGTACAAGCCATCAGAGTTTTCTGCAACGATGGTGGACAGCAGCAAGTTACCAGTGTACGGCGAAGCAGTGTTACACCTACAAATCGGACCACTGCGCTGGAAACCTGCTCTCCCCATCACCAACATAAAAGGGCTTGACCTGATCTTCGGGCAAGACTTCCTCAAGAAATTCAACCCCGAGATCAACTGGGTAAACCGCACCGCAAGCATCTACAACAATGACATCGCGTACTGGAAAGGATCAATGAAGATCTGGGTACCCAATTACCCTCCATTGCACTAGTTACTACTCGAAGAATACCACGACATCCTGTACGCCAGACACTTCGGTAGCAACAAAACGCTCACCAGTATCGCCAAACACTACTACTGGCCCCACATGGCAGATGACGTACAGAAATTCGTCACCTCGTGCCCTACATGTCAGCGGATGAAGAGCAGCAAGCTGAAAAAGGTGGGGCTACTATAGCCTCTTCCTGTCCCAGAACAGCCATGGCAAGTGGTCAGTCTAGACTTCACCACCGGGCTACCAACTACCACAAGTGGTCATGACGTAATCCTTGTCGTCATTGACAAGTTCTCCAAAATAGGACACTTCATCCCGACACACACGACAGCACGCACCGAAGAGGCATCACAACTCTTCGTTGGCAACATCATTTCACAACATGGCATTCCAACCACACTCATCTCCGACCGAGACCCTAAGTTCACCAGTAAGTTCTGGAAAGAACTAATGTCTCTACTCGGAACCAAACTTGCCATGTCATCCGCATACCATCTGCAGACAGACGGACAGACCGAGAGCCTCAACCAAATTGTGGAGCAACTCCTCCGCGCGGCCTGCAAGGACAAAATCTCCAAGTGGGACTTGCATCTACCCATACTGGAGTTTGCCTAGAACAATGCTACTCACTGTTGTGTGATGTCATCATATGCTATTACATTCTGTCTGCCTCACATTCAGTGTGTGAAGGAATTTGTGTGGTGTGTGTTCTGGAGTTTGGGAATGTGTTTTGTGTTATTCTGTCTGAGCAGGTATTTGTGATGATAGATCTTGAGAGGATCTTTCCGACGCAACAAGAATCGTTTCAATCGGAGCAAGAACGCGAAAGCTATGAAGATTCAAAGTTCATGAGCTTGCGTTACAATTGCGGCGGTTACAAAGTGAAGTTGTGGGGTGACTCTATATGGAGTTGGGACCTTTGGGGTTGGGGAAATTTGTCACTCTACTGTAACAGCTGCAAATTGGTTGGGAACAACCAAGCTAGGTTGGCAAGGGTGGCCAACTTGGATGGATTGGTTGGGAAGGGACAAATGTCAAAGTTGGGGTTCCTATAGGGAGGGAATCTTTGTGCTTATGAGGTTTCCATGGTTGGGGAATCTCTTAGGACATTCCCTCTCATTCCTCTCTTCCATCCCAACCTTTCTCTTGCTCCTCTAATTCCTTGTGAGATTCTTGAACTTTGATTGAACTTTTGAGATTGAGTTAAATTCTCCTCCTACAGCTTATCCCGCAGTGCTTCGAAAAACATAGCGTCGCCAATACTCCATCAATCAATATGATTCAAATTGAGAACGGTAGCTAAGCGTACAAGCTACAACATATCTGATATTCGCGACATTCCAACGGCTAGTGTTTTGTCGACGTCGTTTCTTGTGAAGATGACTTTTCTGTCCAGAATTTCGGATTTATATTTTGAGTAATTCTAGCTCCTAAGTTCACCTAGACTCCGTCCTTAATCCTAACACTCACGCCGCTACTGGACAGACGCAGTTCTTCCTCTATAATGAATGCCACCCACTCACACCTCAACAGCCAAACATACCAGCCACAGTCCAACCCGCTCATGATTTTATCACGACCATGCACAAACTTTGGGATCGGACCCACAAGCGCCTTCTCGACATTCAGCAACAACAGAAGCGCCAGGCCGATCGCCACCGCACATACCACACCATCACCGTGGGAGACCGAGTACTGCTTGACACGCGCAATCTTGACATCAGCCATCTCCCATCCCAACTGCGACCTCGCTTCTGCGTGCCTTTCCTCGTTGAAGCACAGGTCACTTCTGTTACCTTCCACTTACGCCTGCTTGGATGGGGGCAGGGATGGTGGTTTGGATGAGGGGACCGGGGCTGGTGCTCCGGAGCAGCAGCAGTAGCAGCCACAGCCTCAGCAGCAGCAGCCGCAACAGGCTCAGCAGCAGCAGCAGCAACCGCAGCAACAGTCACCGTGGGGACCCCTGCCGCCGTGGTGGACTGACGGCGCTGGTGGTGGTGGTCGTGGTGGTGGGGGGCGCAGCACGGTGTCGGGTAGCTCTAGTGCGGTCACCTATCAGTACCAGCTTTAGACCGGCCCCCGCCGTGGCACCGCATGCGACTGTTATGGCCACACCGCCGCCTGCTGCTACCGCGGCCTGGACGACCTCTTCCGTTACCGCTTCATTCCCGCGTTAGACCCTCCTGACTGGTACGCCCAGTCTCGCCGCCGTGTCCGTGTCTTTGAGCTTGAAATGGATCAGATTAGGTCTGCTATGTTTGTCATGTATGCTGATGACTCTAATGTGATTGCCCAGTGTTGCCTAGAGTAGGTGTGTCCCTTGTGTGTAATCTAGGCTCCCCTGCTGCGTCAGGCATAGGACCCCCTGCCTGGTTTAGCCTAGTTTGCATGCTAGCCCCTTCACCGGTTGGCGCTATTGCCTCACTCTCCTTTATGCTCGACTCTGACGCGTCCGCCTGCTTATCGCAGCCACACTGCGCTCACGCCGCTTGCTGCCCCCACCGCTTTAGCGCTTGCTGATCCCTCCTCAGGTCCACTACCCTTCCTTGTCCGGCAGTCCCCTCGGGCTCGCTTACAGGCCTGCACATCCCCTCGTTCTCCAGGAACCTAGTTGGTGTCGGCTATCTTCAGGAACTCGGTGTCACCACTACGTTCCCCGGACACGAGCGGTAATGCAGTTTGTAACGAGGCCGCCACTAGTGCCCCTCTGACCACGTTCCCCCGGGACCCCGTGTTTGGCCTGCTTACGCTTGACATTGCATCCCCCCAGGTGAGGTCGTCCCCCCAGATGCCTGCGTCAACCCTAGTCGCTGCGGCTTGCTCATGTCGGTCGCTCACTCACCCGTCGCTTCTGTGGCACCACTGCCTAGGTCAACCCGCACTCCCGCGTCTGTGTCACATGTCCCATCACGGTCTTGTGTTCCGTCTCCCTGCGTCGCTCCCTGCCCTTCCTCCCTCACCTGCGCCACCATGTACGCCTTGCGTCGAGGGCTGGATGCGCCGTGCTCCTCACTCCTCCTCGCCTCCCCCTACCATTGCGCCACTCCTAAACCTGCACCTAGACGTTTGGGGCCCAGCCCCCGTCCCTGGGCTGCATTGAGAGCACTACTTCCTAGTGCTTGTCGACGACTACACGCGCTACAACACGGTTGCACGAGTCCACTGTGGTCTCCGAGTGCTGAGTCTCCACTCCGACCGTGGCGACGAGTTTGCCTCTGATCGATTTGGCTAGTTCTGTCGTGCAGAGGGCATCACCTAGTCATACACCCTTCCGGACTCCCCGCAGCAGAATGGGGTCGCTGAGCGACTCATCAGTTTTGTCACAGAGGTGGCTCGTACCTACATGATCCATGCTCGTGCACCGCAGCACCTTAACCTCTGGCCGCACTCCTTGCGGCCGCAGGTTTCGCCGACCCTCCTCTAGATCGGATTCCCTGGTGACGCGTCTACGTTCCACATCTAGGGCTGCCTCGCTCACGTCCGTGCCTCTGGCACGAACAAGCTCACTGCCCGCACTGTCCCTGTGTCTTCCTTGGTTTCCCCCTTGATGCGTCTGACTAACACTTTTACCACGCGCCTTCTCACCGCTTCTTTCTCTCGCATGACGTCACTTTTGACAAGCCTATCTCCTTCTACCACCGCTTTCCCCACCGAGGTCTCCCAGTTTCCCCGCCCCTGTTTCTGGTTCCCACTCCCCCAGTAGCCCCTGCTCATCTCCCTCCCCGTCTTGCCCTGTTTGGTGTGTCTCACGTCACTCCCCTCCCGTCGGTGGTCCCGGTGGAGGGGTGCGCAGACTCCTGTAGCCCTCAGTGGCTCCTCCTCCACCATCCCAGCCGCAGCTGTTGCCGCGGTCGCCGCTGCAGTAGCATCCGCTGTCGCAGCCACAGCAGCAGCAGAAGCCGCTGCCGCAGCCGCAGCCGCTGCAGGAGTCCGTGCGTTCAGGGGGTGTTGGCGTTGAGGAGGGTGCTAGTCCTAGGGTTTCTGTCGTGGCTTGACCCGGCGGTCTCAGGGGTGGCACCGTTGCTGGAGAGGGTTCTCGTTCTTGGGGTGCTGGTTCTGGGGGTGCTAGTCTCAGGGTTCCTGTCGTGGCTCGTCCCGGTGGTCCTGGGGGTGGCACCGGTGCTGGAGAAGGTTCTTGTTCTCGGGGTGCTGGAGTGGAGCTTTTCGGAGATAGCTGAGGTGCAGCTGAAGGTTCTAGTGTTGGTGGGGCGCAGCAGCAGCAGTCGCAGCCGATGTCCGCCCTTTGCCTCCTTGGTCTTCCATCCCCTGAGCGCCTACCTGCGCCTCCCCCGCCGCCGCCTCTCGTGCGTTTCTTCCGCCGGACTCGTCTCTGACTCGTTTTCCCCCTCGTTCCCCTTCTCTGTCTCCTCCTCTGTCCCCTCACCTGATGCCACCATCTCACGTCTGGTCTCGCCGTCCCTCCCGTGCTCGTCGTGTCTCTCCTGTTCAGTGATCTCTTACTATGTTGCTTCGTTCCCATGCGTCTCGTCCTCCCCTCCTCGCGTCGCCTCCTCTGTTGTTGCTTGTTGTCGTTGCGCCTCCTCTGTCTGACTTACTTTGTGCCGGTAGTCCTATTGTTCCTCGGGTCCTTGCCTCCCTTGTTATGGACCCGTCTGTTCCTGTCTCGAGTCTTGACGCGCTTGTCCTTGCCGTTGCTAACTTCGCCTCCATCCGCCGCCTTGACTACGCCACCACTCTGGTCTCTGACCCTGCCCGTCCTCCATCCGTTGGGGGTTCTCCTGCCCTTGGCAGTGACGTCCTGGAGGACCGGCACTATGAGCTCGCTTTCCTGTTCGAGGCCGCACCTCATCTCTGCTCCACGCTGCAAGTCCCTGAGGGGGACCCAGACGCCTTTGACATCCCGCTAACACACCTAGACGTTATCTAGCATGTACATCGGGCATGAGGCTAGTGCTAGGAGGACGCAGGTTAGTGGTCCTTACTGAGCACACAGACGCTTCTTGGGCAGACGACGCTGAGACACTTAGGTCCTCCCAGGGCTACTGCTTTAGCCTTGGTTCAGGTGCCATCTCATGGAGGTCCACCCGCTCGTTGTCTGTTTCCCAGTCCAGCTGTGGGGCTGAGATCTACGCCGGTGCCATGGCGGTACAGGAGCTCCGCTGGCTTGAGCATGCTGGAGATAGCGGCAAGTGCGGACGCGGAGGACAGGGAGCGACCGACGTCCAAGTCCTATCTTTCAAGCGGCACGCGACAACTCAGAAGCACAAACTAGCGATTTAACGCCAAGCCGACCTCCTTCAGGAAGCCTCTCGCCAGCCGCGCATCGACACCAACTTCGTCACCCGCGACGTTGAGCAGGAACGCGTTGTCGCTCTTCTCGATGCCCTTCTCTTCAACTGCCAAAGCAGCGAACCCATGGAGGCATGGGTGCGGCTCGTCAAGTACCTGGCCAAGCGTGGAGTACCAGGATTCCCCATGAAGGGTTACGGCACGTACTACAACTCGTACGTGCTCCACTTCCCCTCACTGTGCTTGCACATGCTTCTATTAACCGCATGTTCATGCCTTGCGTGTTGCAGGTACGGCTTTGGGGAGTTCACACAGGCAACAACCACCTGGCTGCAAACCACCCAGATTGACTACATCCGCGCGAGTCCATTCCTGGGCATCAGCTGTGATGAATCAACTGACAGGTGTCGCGGCAAGCACTTAATCGTCTACGCGACGTTTCTGCGCGAGGGGAGGATTGTGACTGAGTTTTTTGCTCTACTGAGTGTCGACAGGGCTGATGCGGCTTCTCTCGTTCAACTGCTCCTGTCCCACCTGTCTGCAGTAAGCGTGGACTTGATGCGCTTGACAGGCATCAGCACCGACGGTGCAGCGGTGATGCTGGGTCATCGAAACGGAGTTGTTGCATGGCTCCGTACGAGGATTCCCCACTTCGTGTCATGCCACTGCATTGCGCACAGGTAACATTGTTTCTGGAGGATTTCTCATGCCTTTCGCTGGGTGCAAAAACTTTCTTACAAGGCTTTCTAACAATCATTCTTGCGAATGCTGCAGGGAGGCGCTGGCAGCCAAGGATGCTGCGGACTCATTGCCTGAGTTCGGCAT